TCTTGCCTGAGCCCGCGGGTTCGAGACCCGCCTGGGCAGCGAGACCTCATCTCTACAATAAATCAAAAAATCAGCCGGGCGTGGTAGCGCATGCCTGTAATTCCAGCTACTTGGAAGGCTGAGGCGGAAGGATCGCCGGAGCCCAGCAGGCGAGATTGTGGTGGCCGGGAGCGGCCACTGCACTCCAGTCTGGGCGACAGAGTGAGACTCCAACTCAAAAAAAAAAAAAAAAAAAAAAAAAAAGAGATAGTATTTAGTTTTAAAAGCCTGGGTCCCTCACAGAACTCTTGTGTATAATATAAACACTTACTTCCAGTTCAAAGTCTGATAAATTAGTTTTCTTTGGAACCTATAAAAGCAAAAGAAAAGGTATTGATTTCAGCTTATTAAAAGTATATACCCTTGCTGATTAAGCCTTGTTTGGGAAAGATTCAATTGTAAAAAGAGACTTCATTAGAACTGACAGGTAATATGCAAACAAAAATAGGCAGGATATTTGAATGGGGAGGATTCCTTATCACTTGACTTTTCAAAATTTCCTTTATAATACTATTACACTGCTTTTATAAAAGAGGTAGAAGCTCTTGTTTAATAAAAATATTACTTCCTGCATCTGTATAAAGAGAGTTTAAAGTAGACAGATGCATTAAAACACTTTTATGAAGCTCATCACAACAAAGTCAAGGAGAAAAAAAGATGTTCAAGTTAATGACTCTTTGAAATGCTGACTTTTTTTAATGCAGAGAGAAATTAAAAGAATAGAAGTAGCCTGACAGTGAATTTTTTTCTTCAGAAGCCTTCATGCATTAAGCACTCCTCAAGGCCAAAGTAATTATGCCACTCGTAGGCATAACTTAAAGTCAAAGTTGCATAATAGATTTTTCTGCTCCAGTACAGGACAAAGCATTTGTTCAGAGACTCAACATACAGTCATTTCCACTGTGTAACACTAAAGTTAGTGCTTAAGTCTTGAGAACATAACTATAATAAAAGGAGTATTTATAAAAGTGTTTTTAAAAGATCAAATACATCAAATGCCAGAAATCATCGACTTTTCCAAAAAAAGACATATGAAAATGTTCAGGATGACTAACCCAGTACACGGCTCTAAATCCAAGTTCTTGTTTTCTTCATTTTGTAATAAATCTTCTATTTTATCTCTGAGAAATCATAATAGACCATGAACATTAGTACCTTTAAGGAATGAAGTTATTAACCAACAGAATAATCATACTCAAAAACATTCTAAATACAAGAACAAGTGACAATGCAATTCTACCAAATCATGTTATAACATTTTAGCTCAAAGGCTTTTTAAAAATGCTTTATTATGGCATATGCTTTTGGGGGGTGAGGGGGTTACTTTTGTTGTTAATAAATTAGTGACAACTTATCAAGGACTCATCAATATACAGTGATTTAATTTTTTACTTTTTCAGTAAAACAGTTATATTGACAACTAAGCTAAGCAAGATCAGACACTCCTCCAATGGCACAACTGTCAGAACCTTCAATGCAAGATTAAAAAACAGGGACATGTGGTAGTCTAGATGGGCCTGATCCACTCCTCTGCCTTCAGGGAAACTGGACCAAGCAGGTCCATGTAGGCCTACCCATGAGCTCTTGGCTCATGACAGGTCTCAAGTCTGAGTATGATTCACAGCACTTTCTTTACAATTTGCAGCCACTGCACAAATTCAGATATGCCACATTAAAATCCTGCCACTCACAACATCACACCTGTGTGTGTAATGTGCATTTGTAGCACAGGTTTAATATATAGCCATCAGTACTGCCCCAACACAGGTTATACAATGCACGTTTGATTTCAGTTTAGGAACTTACACCACTTGGTCAATAAACTTCTTCTGATCCTCAGGAATCGTCACAGGACATTTTGAAGTGTTAGGAGACACATATGCCAGCACTCCTGCACCATTGGCCTGTGAACGTTTTTCATCATATTGCTCTCTTAACTGCCTTTCTTCTTCCTGATTCAAATATGGAATTCCTAAACATAATTTTTAAAAGAATGCATTAGCAGAAGTAACTGTTTAACATAAGATGTTTAACAAACCAAAGCGTCTAAATTAAAAACAGGAAAGATTTACCACATTTAACTACATCTCAAACAATCAACAGAAAAGGCAAGTGATTTTGAAATGTGTTTGTCTATTCATTCATTCTTCTTTCAAGAAATATTATTTGACACCTATGCTGTGCCAAGCATGGTATTAGGCACTAGTGAGCTAACAGTGAACAAGAGATACATCCTGCTCTGTAGTGATGGGAAGTGCAGAAAAGCTTCTTTGAGGGAAAACTAGAATAACAAGATCATGTCAGATATGCAAAGAGCCAGGGGAAGAGGACTTCAGGCAGGGAAAACAAGCAAAAATGCCCAGAGAACAGAAATACTCGGACTGTTCCAGGAACAGCAAGGAAGTTTGTGTGAGCAAAAGAGGAATGGCACAACTTCAGGTTGGAGAAAAAAACGGAGCAAGGTTATGTGGGCCGTCATAGACCATGGTAAGAAATTTCTATTAGGCTAAGAGTAACTGCACACCAGTAGAAGGTTTTAAGCAAGACAACTGCCTTACTTGTATCATATTTAAAAAGTTATACTGACTACTCTGAGAACGGAAGTGGGAAGACCAGTTAGGAGCACTTGTCCAGGCAAGAGACGACTGCTCAGCTCAAAGCTCAGCAGACTGTATCTTAAAGGACCAAACAGTAAATATTTTAGCCTTGTGGACCATAGGAAGGGTCTCTGACACACTACGCAACCCTGCCATTGTAGAACAAAAGTAGCTATACATTAATATGTACATGTATGGGCACAGCCATGTTCTAGTAAAATTTTATTTATAAAACAGGCAGCCAGAAGTGGGCCACCATTTGTGACACCAGCATGGACTACAGAGATGGCAGGGAGGATGGAGTGAGTGATTATTGAGATAGAAGACATAAAACTTACTGTTATACTGGAAGTGAGAGATAAAGAGAAAAGCAAAATCAAGAAAGACATGTAGCAGCTATCTGGTTTAAGCAACTGGAAAAATGGTAGGCCACTATCTGAGATGAGAAAAACCAGAAGAATAGATTTGGGAACCCAAGTGGTAAAAATTAAAAGCTACATTTTTGAGCCAGGTATGGTGGCTCATGCCTGTAATTCCAGCACTTCGGAAGGTGGAGGTGATGGGATTGCCTGAGATCAGCGTTTTAAGACCAACCTGGGCAACTTGGTAAGATCTTGTCTCTACAATAAATCAAAAAATTAGCCAGTCGTGGAGGCACACACCTGTCGTTCCAGCTACTTGGGAGGCTGAGGTGGAAGAATCACCTGAGCCCCACAGATAGAGGCTGCAATGGCTGTGAGTGTGCCACCAGCCCAGGTAACAGAATAAGACTCCAACTCAAAAAATAAAAAAAGCTATATTTTGGACATATTAAATCACCTAAGGTGGTGAGATATAAATTTAGTTATCAATGCAAAATGGATGGTACTGTAAGTCACAGGACAAAAAAAGTCATGAGACATTAAGGAATGTCTAGAAAGAATAATGAAATTAGAAAACTTCCATTTGTCAACAATAATAACTGAAGCAAGAATCAATAGATGCTACAACTATGATTGGCAAAATAAGTGATCCAAGTTAATGTCACCAGTGATGGAATAAATTCATATTATGTGCCTCCTGATATGATGTGCTAAGAAAGGCACGCACCCGCTTCTGTGACATTCCAGTCAAAAAATGATTAACTACACGTGGACAGGTCTGAAGAAATATCAGGCAAGTCCAAGTACATGGGCAGTCTACAACTACCTCTACTATTCAAAAATGTCAAGGCATTTCAAAGAAAGACCAGGTGCAGTAGCTCACACCTGTAATCCCAGCACTTTCAGAGGCAGAGGCAAGAGGATTGCCTGAGTCCAAAAGAATGAAAATATGACAACCAAATGCAACATGCGATTCTGGATTGAATCTGGACAAGTGGAAAATTATTTTCTCTCTTGCTATAAATAACAAAACTTACATAACGTCTGTAAATTAGATGACAGAACTGGAGCCAAGATTGTCCTTATTTTTAGAAAATACACAGTGAAGTAGTTGAGGGTAAGGGGTTATCATGTCTGCAATTCTAAAATGGTTCAGGAAAAAAATTTATGATATATGTATATTTAAAAAGGTCAGGTGTGGTGGCTCACGTCTATAATCCCAGCACTTTGGGAAGGGGTAGGAGGATTGCTTGAGCCCAGGAGTTTGAGACCAGCCTACTCAAGATAGTGAGATATCGTATCTGCAAAATAACAAAAAGTTAGCTGGGCATGGTAGAATGTCTGTAGTCCCAGCTACCCAGGAGGCTGAAGCAGAAGGATTACCTGAGCCTAGGAAGTCAAGGCTACAGTGAGCTGTGATAGTGCCACTGTACTCTAGCCTGGGCAACAGAGACCGTGACTCAAAAAACTAAATAAATAAAATTAAAAAGATGATAAAGCAAATATAGTATAATGTTAACACTGCAGTGGCACATTCATGGCCACCCCAGCATTGACTCGCTGGGCTCAAGTGATCCTTCTGCCTCAGCTTTCCAAGTAGCCAGAACTACAGGCGTGCGCTACCACACCTGACTAATGTTTTTGATATATTGTAGAGAGAAGTTCTCACCAAGTAGCCCAGGCTGGTCTCAAACCTCCAGATTCAGGCAATCCTCTAGCCTCAGACTCTCAAAATGCTGGGATTACAGGCTTGAGTCATCGCGCCCGGCCGTGGTATTTTTTTGGTAACATTTGTGTTAGTCTGAGATTATTTCAAAATGAAAATTTAGAATAACAAATAAAGTCATGCACATATGAGACCAACTAAGAAAGTAGACTTGACCAGGCTCAGTGGCTCACACCTATAATCCCAGCACATTGGGAGGCAGAGGAAAGAAGACTGCCTGAACTCAGGGGTTTAGGAACAGCCTAGGCAACTTGGGGAGACTTCGTCTCTACAATAAATCAAAAAATTAGCTAGGCATGGTGGCACATGCCTGTGTTTCAAGTTACTTGGAAGGCTGAGGTAGAAGGATCACTTGAGCCCTGCAGGTAGAGCCTATGGAGGCCATGAGTGTGCAACAGCACTCCAGCCTGGGCAACAGAGTGAGAATCCTACTCAAAAAAAAGAAATATTTAAAAGCTGGCAACCAGCCTAAGCAACACAGCAAGATCTGTCTGTACAATAAATCAAAAATTAGCTGGGTATGGTGGCATACACCTATACTCCCAGCTACTGCATTCCAGGATGGGTAGCAGAGTGAAACTCCAACTCAAAAAAAAAAAAAGCTGGCAAGATGAGAAGGCACCAGTCAGAACACTGAGGAGTCAAGAGTGAGGCAAGAGGAAAACCCTAAGAATGAAGTGAAGCCAGGAGGGGAGTATTAGGGGCAGGAGGGAGTAATCAACTGAGTTGAATTCTGCCAAAAGGTGAGCAAGATGAAGACAAAGAGGGATCCACTGGACTGGAAACCATAGCAGGCCCCACTGCAGACCAGCCAGTACAGCATCAGTAGACAGTTACAGAAGGAAGCCCAGCAGGAGTAGGGAGAAGAAGAAACTGGAGCAGAAGACGAACAGTGAAAGCACAAACCACGAATCCAAGGCACATTCTCTAAGTGGGAGCATCACTGAGTAGAAAGGGGAAAGGGATATGGAATCCAGTGAGAGGGCTTATTGGGTTTGGGTTATTTTAAGATTAGTTATTTAAGACCGGTATGCTTCACCTTCACCTTCTAGTGCCACAGATCCCTTTGACAGTCTGGTGAAATCTACAGACTTCTCCTAGATTTATTTATGTATTTATTTATTTTTGAGTCACACAGGCTGGATGGAGTGCAGTGGCATGCTCATGGTCACCACATCCTCAACCTGCTAGGCTCAGGGGATCCTTCCTCCTCAGACTCCCAAGTAACTGGAACTACAGGCCTGTGTCACCATACCTGGCTAATTTTTTTATTTAATGTAGAGATGAAGTCTCACCAAGTTGCCCAAGCTGGTCTCGAACCCCTGGGCTCAGGCAATCCTCGCACCTCTGCCTCCCAAAGTGCTCAGACTACAAGTGTGAGCTATCACACCTGACAGATTAATGTTTTTAAATGTTTAAAGTAAAATATACATAAGATCATAAAGAAAGGCAATGATTCTAAAATAGACACAGGCAATATAGTGATATAATATACCAGTTTCTTGATCAATATATTAATAACTACTAAACAATATCTAGGCCAGTTGCAGTGGCTCAGGGATGTAATCCCAACACTTTGGGACACCGAGGCAAGAGAATCACTTGAGACCAGACTGAACAACACAGAGAGACTCTTGCCTCTATTCAAAGCTTTAAAAAAGAATTATCTGAGCTGGGCTCAGTGGTTCAGCCTGTAATCCTGCGCTTTGGGAGGCCAAGGTGAGTGAATTGCCTGAGCCTGCGAGTTCGAGACATGCCTGGGCAACTTGGCGACACATCATCTCTATAATAAATCAAAAAAATTAGCCGGGCGTGGTAGCGCAGGCCTGTAGTTCCAGCTACTTGGAAGGCTGAGGCAGAAGGATCGCCAGAGCCCAGCAGGTGGAGGCTGCGGTGGCTGGGAGCAGCCACTGCACTCCAGTCTGGGTGACAGAGTGAGCCTCCAATTCAAAAAAAAAAAAAAATTATCTGGGTGAGGTGGTGTGTACCTGTAATTCCAGCTACTCAGAAGGCTGAAGCTGGAGAACTGCTTGAGTTGGAGGCTGCCGTGAGCCATAACCACACCACTGCACTCCCACCTTGGCAACAGAGTAAGACCCTGTCTCAAATAAATACATAACAAGATCTAGTGGCAGTTAAAATAACTATGATACTTTTGATTTACTAATTAATATAAACAATATTCAAGATGTCTGCAACAAACTGCTATGTCATCTGAAGGTACTTGAGATTTCCACCAATGACACAGTCCCAGATTCTACTAACACTGCTGTGGCTGTTGCCTACGTTAATAATGGAAGAACTGCTAAAATTTTAGTTCAAGGTTAGAAAAAATCCAGAAGTAATGTTTTCATCTCCAAATTCATAGTCTTCCAAATTTTATCCATGGCGAGGTAGAAAAAAGGATGCCCATAAACTAAGTTTAAAAAGCTCTGTACTTACAGCATGTTCATAAAGGTTAATGGTAATGATCCAGTAGAGAAAGAAAAATAGTCACTCAGGACAGAGAAGGGCAAACTGGAAGAGCTAGTGTCTGACAAGGAAGATGGACTAGCCTTTGACAGGTGCAGGGACTGTTATTCCACTGTAAAAAAGGGAGGCAAAAAAGCTGGGTTCAGACTTAGGACAGACTTGTGGATTTGATGGTTAGAAGACAAAGCAGCTCTTCTCTTATGGTTTCTGTCTTCATTGGAGACATGGTCATGAGCTGAGGTGGGAAGTTCAGAGTGGGGGGTGGGAAAAAACAGTCATCTTAAAGAGTTATAACTGTATTCTATGTCAGAAAAAGATTGCTGAACAAGACTGCTAGTGCAATGAATTTTGAGTGACAAATTGGCTCAGGTGTATCGTGTATTCCAGCCATATCCAGATGCTCAGAAACAGAAAAGGTGAGTGGTTAGATTCAACCAGAGCTGGGGCTATATTAGGCTACTACAATGGAGAGATAAGCAAAGAAAAGAAGGAAAGGTACTGATGGACCAAGTGAATAAAGAAGGAAAGTCAAGGTAGAAGACAGAAAGGTAACAGACAGTGAAAACAGAAAGTCAATGAACAGCTGAAGTAAGATACCAGAGCAAGTGACCAAGAAGGACAAGAGGCAGGTCTCTCTCAGAGAGGAAAGCTGCAGATGGTAAATAAGAGGTGCCATCACTGACAATGAGACCCACGATGCTGCTAAGGCTGGAAACAACTAAACAGAGAAAGACGCAAAGACTGGTGACTACCTGGTCAAGAAACAGACTGCATAAAGCATTTGCTGCTGCTCCTTGTAGTTGCCCAGAAGAGAACAGGGGTAGGAGCAGAGAGAATGACAATGCACCAAAGCCAAGGCTACAGTGAACACCATGCCTACAGAGTCAGCACAGAGGCATGGCAGAGCTGGGTGATACAGCCCTGAGAAGAATGGTGGCTCCTGTAGAAGAGGGAATTCAGGTGCTTTGAAACTAGCATAGAGAAAACAAGAGGGTAATTATCATGCCCTGGCCAGAGATAGAAAAGAGTGAGAGGGGCCGGGCACAGTGACTCACTCCTATAATCCTAGTACTTTGGGAGGCCAAGGCATGAGGACTGCTTGAGCCCAAGAGTTCAAGTCCTGTCTAGGCAACACAGTGAGAACTCATCTCTACAAAAAATAAATAAAAAAATTAGATAGGCGTAGTGTTGACTGCCTGCAGTCCCAGCCACTCAGGAGGCTGAGGTAGGAGATTCACTTGAGCCCAAGAGTGAGTACAGTGAGTGCAGCGAGCCATGAGTGTGCCACTGCACTCAGCCTAGGCAACAGAGTGAGAACCCAACTCAAAAATAAAAAAATAAGCCAGGCTCAGTGGCTCAGCCTGTAATCCCGTGCCTTGGTAGGCTGAAGTGAGTGGACTGCCTGAGCCCGTGGCTTCAAGACCCACCTAGGCAAATTGGCGAGACCTCACCTCTACAAAAATTAGCTGGGCGTGGTAGCGCGCGCCTGTACTTCCAGCTACTTGGAAGGAAGGATTGCTGGAGCCCAGCAGGTCGAGCGGCCACTGCACTCCAGTCTGGGTGACAGAGTGAGACTCCAACTCAAAAAAATAAATAAATAAATAAACTAGCAGGGAAGGGGAGCAGACGTGGTGGCTCATATATGTCATGCGAGCACTTTGGGAGGCCAAGGTAGAATTGCTTGAGCCCAGTAGTTTTAGACCAACCTGGGTAACACGCAAAATCTTGTCTCTACAAAAAAATAAAATAGAATAATTAGCCGGGCGAGGCAATGCACGCCTATAGTACCAGCTATTCAGGAGGCTAAGGCAGAAGGATCACCTGAGACTAGAAGGTCAAGGCTGCAGTGAGCTGTATTCACGCCACTGCACTCCAATCTGGGTGACAGAATGAGGCCCCAACTCAAAAGAAGATGAAAGGAGAGAAGGAGGAAAGGATGGTAGGAGGAAAGAGAGAAGGGGGTAATAAAGCATCCCTATGAGCATTGGCTAAAGGAGTTCCTTCAAAAGATGTTTGCAAGCTGGGCGCAGTGCCCCACGCTTGTAATATCAATAGTTTGGGAGGCAGAAGTTAGAGGACTGCCAGAGTCCAGGGGTCCAAGACCAGCCTGGGTAACTTGATGAGGCCTCATCTGTGCAATAAATCAAAAATTAGCTAGGTATGGTGGCGCATGCCTGTAGTTCCAGCTACTTAGAAGGCTGAGGTGGAAGGATCACCTGAGCCCAGCAGGACGAGGTTGCAGTGGCCGTTAGCATGGCACTGCACTCCAGCCTGGACAACAACAGAGTAAGACTCTGATTCAAAAAAAAATTTTTTTGCATTCGATATGGTGCTCTGAATATATTTGAAATTTCTGTTTTATAAAGGCTTTCAAAGTCAAGTATGAGATGAATAAAAACAAAATTGCTTTATAATTCCCAAATTGTGTTGCTTAGCTGTTTCAGTATATTAAGCAGATTTGGCTCCCCCAAAATTTTGTTTTAGTATTTTCAAAGATCAAAATCATCAATAAAAATTAAGATGTAGTACTGCCAAAGCAATTAAAATACAACAGGCATGGGTTCTAAAGACCTCACAAGGAGATTACGCTAAGAAAATTTGTTTAAAGTCTATGTACTTTTCTTTGAGAAAAATTTAGTATTTTTGTTGCAATAAATCTTCCTTACTTTACTCACTAACTTCACATTTGCCATGGGAAAAAATATAAGTTATGAAAATAATTAAACATAGTTGCTGACCTTATAGTTGTTATGTACTTAATACTGGGAAAAGCAGACACTTTCCCGAACGCTTTTTAGGGAAACAAATGAAGAAAAAGGAAAACCAATGGGGTGTGCTCTAATGTCTAGTACTTATGCACCCATTCATTCATCAGATATACAGTGGTCACCTCCCTGACATAAAAAAGGAATGATGCTATGCATGCATATGAAATGAATGAGATACAGTCCCTTCCTCAGGGTGTTCACCAACCTATTATCCCAGAGAGTTAGCCATTATCAGTCGTGCAATCCATGCAGATGTTTTTTTCCCATGAAAGACCAAGAAACTGCAATTATTTTTAAAAAGTGTCAACAGGGTTACCCATTTCAGGCCCCCTCTCTTTTTCTAGAGTTTTGTTGCTTAATAAACTCCTTCTAGCCAGGCTCGGTGGCTCAGCCTGTAATCCCACGCCTTTGGGAGGCTGAGGTGAGTGGATTGCCTGAGCCCGCGGGTTCGAGACCCGTCTGGGCAGCGAGACCTCATCTCTACAGTAAATCAAAAAATCAGCCGGGCGTGGTAGCGCATGCCTGTAATTCCAGCTACTTGGAAGGCTGAGGCAGAAGGATCGCCGGAGCCAGCAGGTCAAGGCTGCGGTGGCTGGGAGCGGCCACTGCACTCCAGTCTGGGCGACAGAGTGACACTCCAACTCAAAAAAATAAAAAAATAAAATAAAATAAAATAAATTAAAAAAAAACTCCTTCTTTCACTCAGCAAAAAAACAACAAAAAAAGTATCAAGTACACCTATAATCACAGTACTTTGGGAGGCTGAGTTGAGAAGACTGCCTGAGCCCATGGGTTCGAGACCAGACTGAGCAACTTGGCGAGACCTCATCTCCACAATAAATCAAGAAAAATTAGCCAGGCATGATGGCACATGCCTGTAGTTACAGATACTTAGAAGGCTGAGGTGGAAGGATCGCCTGAGCCTAGCAGGTCAAACCATTGCCCTCTAGCCTAGGCGACAGAGTGAGACTCCAACTCAAAAAAATAATTTTTTAAAAGCACCAACTAGAGGTTTTCATTATGGCATTATGGGAATACAGCTACTTTTTAAAGTACTATACTTGTCACATTGGGTGAAAACAAAGAAGCATCCCCACAGGTGGTGAGTTAGGTCATGAAGTCACACCAGTGGCAGAATAAACTAAACTCAATAAAAACAGGAATTTGGCTGGGCTCGGAGGTTCAGCCTGTAATCCCGTGCCTCAGAGGTTCAGCCTGTAATCCCACGCCTTTGGGAGGCTGAGGTGAGTGGATTGCCTGAGTCGCGGGTTCGAGACCCGCCTGGGCAACTTGGTGAGACCTCATCTCTACAATAAATAAAAAATTAGCCGGGCGTGGTAGCGTGCGCCTGTAGTTCCAGCTACTTGGAAGGCTGAGGCGGAAGGATCACCGGAGCCCAGCGGATCGAGGCTGTGGTGGCCGGGAGCGGCCACTGCACTCCAGTCTGGGTGACAGAGTGAGACTCTCTAACTCAAAAAAAAAAAACCCAGGAATTTGAAAGATCTCAGTAGAGTTAAACGAAGTAGCATCTATTCTGCTCAGCTTATAGCTGACTAGGTTTACAATAATGAAAAGTCACAATAAAAGAGTATTAAAAAAATCCTAAAGCTGCAAATGTTGTTGCAAATGTTGTACTGAACTCTGAGATCTTACCTCAATTAGTAGGCATGAAATGGTAATTCTCAACCAAATCAAGATTTACTTCCCAAGAACATTTGAAGGTTTATAAGCTCTAAAGATAAGTCACACATAATCTTACCATTGTGAAAAACTTTATTAAAATCAAATCCTTGGCTTGCTAGAAAGTCGATGCTGGAGCTCTGAAACAAGTAAACAGAACATACATTTTGGTGATGCTAGTGGCAGGTATGTGAACAGAAGCAGAGAAGTAACTCAGACAAGTCACCAAAGACAACCAGGCAAGGATGCAGTGTATCAAAGGTCAGAAGACGAGGACTACTACTCCACAAATGATCCACTCAGTTGCTTAAAGATCTGGACTCTTCTCCTTCATATCTCATAAATAAACCAACATCCTTTGTTTAATATTTTTTTAAATTCACAGATATTCTCACAGTAGGCAGAAAGTTCCTAATCTCTTAATTGCTGTGCTTACTAGGAATCTATAAATAGAAACAAGATGTATTTATATTATCTCATCCCAGGTTCAAGTTTAAGGTAGATCACATAATCAGGTCACAAGGCATCCATATTCTCCTCAATTAGATCCTAAAAACCCAAAATCTTTATTTTATTTATTTATTTTTAGTTACAGTCTCACTCTGTCACCCAGGCTGCACCCAGTGCAGTGGCATGAACACAGCTCACCATAGCCTCGACCTCCTGGAATCAGGAGATCCTTCCACCTCAGCCTCCCAACTAGCTGGGATTACAGGTATACATCATCATATCCAGTTAATTTTTTTTGAGTCAGAGTCTCACTCTGTTGCTCAGGCTGGAGTGCAGTGGCACACTCATGGCCACTGTAGCCTCAACCTGCTGGGCTCAGGTGATCTTTCCACCTCACCCTTCCAAGTAGCTGGAACTACAGGCATGCGCCACCATGTCCAGCTACTTTTTTTTTTATTTATTGCAGAGATGAGGTCTTACCAAGTTGCCCAGGCTGGTCTCAAATTCCTGGGCTCAGGCAATCCTCTCACCTCAGCCTCCCAAAGTGCTGGAATTACAGTTGTGAGCCACTACACTTGGCTAAAAACCCAAAATTTTAATTGGATATTCTTAATGTTCAAGAACAAAAGAGAGAAGAGTTCCCAGTAATATGGCTTACTAAATAAACATATCCTAAATCTAGGATGTACCTAGGATATGTGAGAAAATTTAGATTAAAATATTATGAAAACAACACTACAGGTTGTACACAAGTACAGCAAAATCGTGAAGTTCTTTTTCTTTTTTTTTTAGACACCCTGGTCTAGAACATGGGCATCTTTTTTTTTTTTTTTTTTTTTGAGTTGGAGTCTCACTCTGTTGCCCAGACTGGAGTGCAGTAGCCACTCCCGGCCACCACAGCCTCGACCCGCTGGGCTCCGGCAATCCTTCTGCCTCAGCCTTCCAAGTAGCTGGAACTACAGGCGTGCGCTACCACACCCAG